CCAATTTAGAGCAGCGAGGCGGGCGGGCGGGCGGGCCGGCAGTCGCGTTTCGGATTGACTCATGACTAGGCGCGCGCGCGCCTGCCGAGCGTTTCGTGGTTTGAGTTGAGTGTGAGCCTATAAAGTCTCCAGTAAGAGCAGTCTTGAGTCAAGAGTGGTACGCGCAAATCACCAACGTTGAGGTCACGAGACTCGCAACCCGCAACGTACGGCTTCGTCAGGATCTTGGATTTTCCTGCATCGTAATTCACGATTCTGTCCACTCAAAACCTGTGTGCCGACCACTTTGACTTCTGCTCCACAACCCACTGGTCAACTACCCGTTGGCTCTCACTACAGAGCCGCCTTCTGAGGGAAGAGTCTCGCCACTGCGTCTCCTTTTGCGCATCGCATACACCCCTCAAATTTGACTCGCTGCGTGCGCATTACAGCCTCACAGTCTCCATTGCAATTTCTAGCGGCGCTCTTTTGCAAGAATTACGAAGACATAGTAAGGCTCAAGGTCCTGTACATCATTGGCACATGTGTAGGCCTCCACTCTAAACATTAGGACAAACGGTCAAGGATAGGACAAGCAAGTGCAGGTGCATCGTTTTGCCATGAAGCTGACGCCGGAACTTGTCGCGCGTTCGCAATCGACGCTCTCGCCGCTCAAGGATCGCGAGGTGAGCCTTGAAAGATGTCGTGCGGGCGAAGAAATGTCGAAGCTCACTTCCTGGCTTGTCAGCTTGATCTTCGGGGTCTCAAAATCCCGGCTATCGATAATCTTGGTGTGACTAGAGTGAGTGCAGAGGCCACATGATGGTGTGATAGGACACATTCGCTCAGACGCTGCTGCTCTCCTCTTGATAGGATCAGAATGACTCGATAGATCTCACAGACAATGATATACGTGCGCTGGGCAATCTCCCATCGCTACCTCGCCTCACTCAGCTCGTACTCTCCAACAATGTCATCACCAGCATTGCCCCAAAGATCGCCAACGCAGCACCTGGCCTCATCACCCTGGTCCTTACAAACAACCGCCTCGACGCCTTAGCATCTCTTCAGCCGCTTGCAAGGTTTCCGCGACTAGAGTATCTCACTTTGATTGGAAATCCTTGCACGCGCAAGCCGCACTATAGGGAATGGGTCATAACGCGGTGTAGGCACGTGAGGGTACTGGATTTCAAAAGGGTAAAGGAGAAGGTGAGTGCATGCAACATCCAGCTTCGCGCGCTTCGCGTCGGATTCTGTACCTTATGAACACGGCCGTCGTGCAAAAAACGTCGCCCTTACAGGAAAGGGCATTGGCGAAATCGCTCATGGAGACGGAGGACGGCCGACCTTCGACTCTTGCTGCTTCCATTGCTTCTTCATCTAAGTTGGCGGTGCAGGCCACCGATGCTGCATCAGGCACCTTTGAACCAGGCTTTACCCAAAAACAGAAGGGTCAAGCAGGCAGATTGATGAGCGCAGAAGAGAGAAAAGCTTTGGAGGAAGCGATAGACAGGGCTACTACTCTCGAAGAGGTCAAGAGGCTAGAGGAGCGCTTGCGGTTGGGCTATACCATTGAAGCTCCCAAACAGTCATCTGCAGATACAGAGATATGATTCGGACGACTACAAGCCAAAGCTGTACCAATAGATCATCCGCCAGCCAGAAAAATTTCACGACTGAGCGAAAGTCCAATACGGGCGCGAGTGTGGGTCCACGGCCTGTCCTCGCCTTTTTCTTTCTCGTGTGGATTCTCGCAGCTATTCTCGCCTCTCTGTAGTCCTGACTAAACTTCTGGCCATGTTTACTCGCCGTCTGAGCGAGTTTCTGGTATCAATCATCTTTCTGTGCTCGTGGCTCACACGTGCGAACATGGCCGCAGCTTGCTTGTTCAATCCTGCCAATCGTGCAACCTCAGTAGTCCGCGACCCCTGCGTCGCAGCTAGCACCTTCCTGATTGTGATTCGCCAATGGTGAATGAGTGTTGCGAAAGCGCCATCTAGACCTACATGCTGCCTGCGGGTCGCTCCGACACCGCGATAGCTTGAAGGCAATTCTGACCGCGATCGTCACTTTATGTGCTCTTCTACCTCGAGACTCACGACTGGCGCTTGGTGAATGTTCGCACCCGGGAAGAAGACTGCCCACGTGGTCTCCTTCCGAAAGAGTTCGAGCTATGTTGAACGCGCGCGTGATGAGCCTCGATCGCCCATGCAGGAGCAGCAGCAGCAGCGCGGCGTGTGCAAAGCATCACGGCACGCGCCCTGTCTTCGAGAGAGACACGCGCCCGGGGGCGTGAGGTGCAGCGCAACGGCGTAGCGCCCGGGCGGGGCGCGCGTCGAGAGAGTTGGCTTGCATGGCGACGACGTCACGACGGACTCCTCAGCGCAACGTTGTGAGGCAAAGTGCAGCACGAGGGTACCGGTAAGCATGTTGGGTATGGCTTACACTTCCATCCACCATCCATTCCGCAGATCCCGCACATTCGACCCGACATCGTCCCTGTTCCCGATCCCCTGGCATGAGACTCTTTTGCTCTGCTCGACCCACACTCTGAATGTGGACAGCTTGGACATCATCACATTCTCCAGTAAACACCATCTTCGTCACTCCTTGACACCTTCTCGCCGGCAAGCCCTTGGTCGTCGTTGCGGGAGCGTTGTGCGTCATCAGTCCGTTGCTTCCAGCTTAGCAGATAAGTCGCCTCTGCCAATCCTTATTGGTCGATTACTGCTGTCCTATTCAACCTGGTGCTCGCATCTGCATGTCGACCGACGTTGAGACCCTCATCCGAGCCTGTCTCTCGTCACTCGAGCCTCTCGTTGTCACCGCCGTTTTTGCACGGAGCCTCGTGTACCCTTGCGCTTCCTCCGACTCTGTGACTCTTGACATTCAAAGAGGTCGTTCAGCACATGGTACGGGGGCTCAGCACCTCAGGGACCACGATCCCCTCGTAGCCGACGTTCCATGTACTCGTCCTCACCCAGGCGTTGCTGTATCATCGCTATCAATGCCATCATCTTGATCACAGTCGTCGTATGTGATAGCTGTGTGTTGCACACGCAAGCACGGAACTTTCCTGCTGATGTGAGACCGCTCCCGTCCGGTCTTTGGTGAGCGGCAGCTATGCTCAATTTGCCATGTGCGCTGTTGACGGCTATGCCGATGTTTGCGCATTGCCGTCGTCGTCGCCTGCGCGTCTCGTGCCGACGCTCAATCACGCGGCGCGCTTGCCGTGTGTCCCCTCTGTCCTCTTTCATCTCGCATGCCACACCCAGCCATCATCCGGCATTGCGCACCCACTCTGGACTCATTCTCAGAAGACTCCAGTCACGTCTGCTCCGTTCTTCTCAGAGCGTAGCGTGACGTCAAGTCTTGAGCCGCAGCACCGCTCGCAGCGAGTTCTTACAATCTCCCTCGAGCACTTCCTATTGCTTGTGCTACGGTCTCTTGGCTTTTTACTCGCTAGACTCTTCATTCCAAACCTTGCTCTGAGTCCCTGCGTCAAGTCCATCAGTGCCTCTATTCGCGAAATTCTCGCTGGGCGGACTGTCGCTGCAACCTCCCTCGCGCCTCGTCTCCTCGCACCTGCTCTTACCCCAATTCCCAGTGCCGAGGTCGCCGCAGGAAGAAGAGCAATTTGCCAGCTTCAATTCAGTACCGACAGCATGAACAGCGTCAATGATACCCACATGAGCTCTCTGAGCAGCGCTGCTGCGGACATTCCGTCATCAGCTGCTGAGCTGCCCAAAGCCGTGTCATCCGACACCATCTCGCAGTCGCAATCGCAGTCTTCTTCACTCGTCCTGAGCCACAGACCAGCACCACCAGCCTTCAGTGATGAAGATGGCGATGCAACTGGCTCTATCAAGTCGGAGTTGAGCTCGATTGCGTCCGACTCTCCTGGTCCATCCAAAGCCCCTTCCTCTTCTTCGAGCTCCCGCTCTGCTTCGCCTTCTCGGATGCCGAACAGGGGGCTTCCACATATCGCTGCGCTAGGTGAAACATCAGCACAGGGCTCCATGCGGTCGGGAAGCGTCTCTTCTGCTTCAAGGTCACCTTCCTATACATCTCGACCCGAACCACGCAAACCTACGCAGCGCTTGAACGAAGCAGCTGCTAATCCAGAGCTGTATGGCCTGAGGCGTTCGGTGAGTAAGCTCGGAGATCTTACAGTCCCCGTGCGCGGTGGGTCCGACGCGTTGGATCTTGATCCGAAGCGAGCTGGTCAGGGAGCTTCATAAGCTCGACTTTGTTGTGTAGTATGTACTGACGCTCTTGCTACTGCTTCACCGGACCGCGATCGCCAGGGTCGCGCAACAAAGCAAAGTGTGAGTAGCAGGCACGTCACAAGCATCCAAACGCTTCCAGCGGCCTTGACTCCGCCCACGAGCTGCACCGCTAACACAGTTAATATCGAATCCCATGTACAGTACATCGATAGCTCCAGTGGCGAGGATGACGACAGCGGCGATGCTCTTCCTGGCAGAGCGTCGCGCAAGGTGAAGTCCGCGAAACGTGCATCCGCACTGAAGCCGAAAGCGAGGGGTAAGCATGGTGTTGATTGGATGCCCCGAGTACCATCTTTCCTTGCTCACGAGGCTTCTCGCTGTGTCTTGCAGAAACATTTCGCAGTGCAGCCAGAGATGATGGTTCGGAGAGCTCAGACGACTATGCGCAGCGAACCCATCGAAAGGCAGGGGCGCCCAAAGCTAGCACGCGCCGCACAGTGGGCAGGCATCGCAACAAACGTCCCGCGCCCGACGAAGACGAAGACTCCGCCGACATTGCGAGGATACCATCTAGAGGGAACCGCAAGCCAAATTACAACGAGGACCAGCTGGGTCTGTCGTTCGAGTCTGATGACGATCCCTTCGAGGACCGGGCGACGGAAGCAAACGCAGCGTACATGCAGGCGATGCCAGATGGAGGTGAGTGGAGTACACACGCGAATGACGCGACGAACCACGTTGGCTGAATGGGGGCGCCCTTGCACTTGCGACATCTGTGTAGAATTGGAGGCCATCGAGGGAGTCTTTGGCCATACCCGGGCTCAAGATTTTCGTGAGTACTGCTGCTATGTTCCTGCGTCTGTCTTCCCTTGCTCACGCCGTGACAGCTCTCCACCGCCTCGCGCATTGCAGTCGACGACAAGGAGGACCTTCCAACAAAGAACATGGTGTACACCATCAAATGGCAGGGCTATTCTCATCTCCATGACACCGAAGAAACTTACGACTTTCTGGTCAAGAGCGGCTACGGAGGCTTGAAGCGGCTAGAGAATTACATCAGGCAAATCGTTCGACCTGAAATCGAACTGCTCAAGAATCCAGAGACAAGTAGAGAGGATGTGGAATTGCTCCACATTGACAAGGAACGGCAAAAGGACGCTGTCGAGGGATTCAAAGTGGTAGAAAGGATTCTGGACCAACGCCAGAATGAGCCCAGCAAGGATCATCCGTACTCACACCTCGCCTACTTCTGCAAATGGAAGGGGCTGTCTTATGCGGACTGCACCTGGGAAGCCAACGAAGACATCAAAGATGAGGCTTCGAGACCCATCCAAGCATATTTGAAACGAGTGGCTTGCAAGACTAAGCCTGAACACAGCCAAGCCTACCACCGAGGTCGACCCGTCTACACCAGAATGACGGAGCAGCCGACATACATCTCGCCGGGAGGGGAGCTCAAGCCTTTTCAGATGCGTGGCTTGAATTGGCTTGCATACCTCTGGTCTAACAACCAGAACGGCATCTTGGCAGACGAGGTGCGTGTGTGCGCGGAATGAGCTCAAGGGTCGTCACTAACTCGTGCATCTTCGCCACCACAGATGGGCTTAGGCAAAACAGTCCAGACCGTTGCTTTCTTGTCCTATCTCTTCCACTCTCAGCATCAGTATGGCCCCTTTCTCGTAGTCGTCCCCCTGTCCACACTCCCAGCCTGGATGCAGCAGTTTGAGGTATGGGCACCGGACATGAACGTCGTCAGCTACATCGGCAGCGCCAAAAGCCGTGAGATCATCCGCAGCTACGAATTTGGATCACAGAAACGACTCAAAATCAATGTTCTCGTGACCACGTACGAGTTCGTGCTCAAAGACCGAGCCGATTTGAGCTCGATCAAGTGGCAATTCCTCGCCGTAGACGAGGTGAGTCGATCTCGTCGAGCTATAGCAAGTACGTCGAACGCTAACAAGCCATGTCATCCTCCAGGCGCACCGGTTGAAGAATTCAAGTGCGCAGCTATACGAGTGTTTGATGTCTTTCCACACTGCAAACAAGCTGCTCATCACTGGTACACCACTTCAGAACAACATCAAAGGTGAGCTTCGAATGTGCTGTGAAGGCGCATTTGCGCGGGATTGTTATCGTCGCTCACGTTTGCGAACTGCCCTTCCATCTCAGAACTGATCGCTTTGATGCACTTTCTGCGCCCGGATGAATTTCCTTTGGAGGTCGACTTCGACATCGAAAATGTCGACCCTGCATCCGTTCGAGCGCTACACGAGAAGCTCGACAACGTCATGATCAGAAGACTAAAGAAGGACGTCGTTAAAGAGCTGCCGACAAAATCGGAGAAGATTCTGCGGGTGGAGATGTCCTCTATGCAGCAAAGAATGTACAAGGCAATCTTGACGCGCAACTTTTCCCTTCTCAGCCAGTCGTCGTCAGCTCAATTCAGCCTACTCAATATCGCGATCGAGCTCAAGAAGGCCTCGAATCATCCGTACTTGTTTGAAGGAGCAGAGGTCCCGTCGGAGAAGCGCGAGGAGACCCTAAAGAACATGGTCATGCACAGCGGCAAGATGGTTCTCGTCGACAAATTGTTGACGCGTCTGAAGCAAGACGGTCACCGTGTCCTCATTTTCAGTCAAATGGTGCGAATGCTGGATATACTGTCTGACTACATGTCACTACGCGGATACATCTTCCAGAGGCTTGACGGCACCATCTCGTCAGAGCTCCGCCGCAAGAGCATCGAGCATTTCAATGCTCCTGATTCGCCAGACTTTGCCTTTCTGCTTTCCACGCGTGCCGGCGGTCTCGGTATCAATCTGGAGACGGCAGACACGGTCATCATCTTTGACTCTGATTGGAACCCTCAGAATGACCTGCAGGCCATGGCGCGCGCGCATCGACTCACATCGAAGCACCACGTCTCCGTTTTTCGCTTGGTCACTGCGGACACAATCGAAGAGAGCGTCCTCGAGAAGGCTCGCCAAAAGATGCTTCTCGAACATGCTGTGATTGCCAACCTCGACACGTCAGGTACAGACTACGAGGCTGGAAAAGTTGCGAAGGCGTCCAAATCCGCCAACAACCCGTCGCGTGACGAGCTTGCTCAGATCTTGAAGCTCGGAGCTCAGACGCTGTTCCAGAGAGGCGAGGATGATCAGAATACCAAGCTGTCCCGTCTCGATCTCGACCAACTTTTGGAAAGCGCTGTGGATCTGGAGACTGCTGGCGACACCCACACTTCCACGGGTGGCGAAGCTTTTGCCAAGCTGTTCAACGTGTCCGACATAAAGGTTGGTGATACTGACTGGGATGACATTGTGCCGCTCGAAGAACGGCAAAAGGCCGAGGAAGAAGAGCGGCAGCGCGCAGTCCATGAAGCGGCCGCTGCAAGCTCAAGTCGCAGGCGCACAGCCGCTGACGATGGCATTGCCAAGACTGCCAAGGTGAAGGCCACCGGCTCGGACGAAGATGTTGAAGACGAGGATGACGACGAGGATGAAGAGGATGACGACGATGAGAAGGCTGGCGGCAAGCGCGTTCGCAAAAGCGGAGGTGCTGGGGGTGCAGCGCGCTTTGCAAAGCAGCGCAAGTCTGCCGCTGAGCGATCCATGGATCTTTCGGACCGTGATCTGCGAGTTCTCATCCGGGGCATTCAACGTTGGGGCGACATACGCTGGCGTTACGACACCATCGCTGGCGAGGGCAGGCTGCACTCGAAGAACAGAGCTGTTCTGGAAAGCTTCTCGGATGATCTCATTGCCGAGTCTGAGAAGGCGGCAGCTGCACATGAGGAAGAGAAGCAAGCTGCCGCTGCCACCAGCCCCGAGGCTGCTGCCGCTTTGAGGCAAAAAGCTGTGATGGTCACAGTACGTGGTATCTCAACCAACGGCGAGACAACGTTACTTCGTCACCACGGACTTCGATTACTCTTTCAAAAGCTGCATAAGCTCAGTGAAGACAAGCGCATGAAGTGGAGCGTGCCCGTGGAGCATCTGAAAGGCACAGCCAATTGGGCGAATGGATGGGGCGATGAGCTCGACGCCAGGCTGTTGGTCGGAATCTTCAAACATGGCTTTGGCTGCTGGGAGCAGATAGAGGCCGACGACTCGCTGGGACTTAAGGATTACTTCTTCTTGGAAGAAGGAAAGAAAATCATCGAGCCGAAGTCGGCTGCTGGTGCTGAGGGAGCGCATGCGGACGACGCCACACAGGCAAACGCGACAGAGGCAGTCGAGAGCAAGCCCAAGCGCAAGTTACCGACCATGGCCGCACGTCCCATTCCCAATGCTATCCACCTTGTGCGCCGCGGAGACTACTTGCTCCGTGAACTGCTCGACGCAGGTGAGTCAAAGTCAAGCAGTCGGTTCGATATCACGGGTGCTAGAGTGAACCTTTTGCACCCACTTGTAGATGAGCACCAGAGGCAGTTGCGCGACACAAAGCAGAAAAATGGCAAGGATGTCAAAGAAGCCAAGAGTGCTGCCTCCGCGGCCGAAAAGCAGACCGCTTCTGCACCTCCCAACAAAAAGGCGCGAAAGACGAGCGAGGCACGCAGCGGCCACGACTCCCCAGCTCCCGCTCCTCCGCCTGGCAAGGCGAAGGGCATCAAGTTGAGTAGACCAAAGAAAAGATCACCGGCTGCGGCCGTTAAACCAGAAGACACGCACACGGAGGAAGAGGATAAATCATCTTATTCCAGCATGGACGAGGAGGATTGCAAAGAATCGATGCGACCCTGCCGGAAGGAATTGAAGCGTTTGAAGGAGACTGAAGCCATGTCTCGCGAAGACAAGGTTGTAGTGCTTAAAGAAAGCCTCTCGGCCATCGGCAGCTGCATACAGAACGTCATCGCTACCCGCTTCAAAGATCAGCCAACCTCAGCGGCAGCTAGACAGCGGCGTCATCTATGGGCTTGGGCGGCCTTCTTCTGGCCGAGGCCAGTCAAGGCAGCCCAGCTTCGCGGCATATACCGCAAGATGACGGGCGCCAGCGACGTCGCCTCGTCGCCAATTCCAGCACCTGCGGTGATTCCGGCTGTCAAGAAGAGGCAGCGTTCTTCGGAAGATCATGCTGCTCGTGTGCCATCTCCCTTGGCTATCAAGACCGATGCTAGCGCCAAAAAGCCTCGCATTTCTCCTGTCAATGTTGCGTCGAAGCCGGATCACAAGGCTACCGAACAGTCGCAAGCAGCTGCAGCGTCTCCAACGAGAGGGGAAGATCCTAAGGCCACGACCGTGGCGGCTACTAACAGTGTCACCGTAGAAGACCGTAGTCGCGCTGGCTCCGTTCGCACGCTCGAAAATTCGGCGCACGGGTCACCGTACAACAAGCCAGGTGCGCTGCCGCGTGCCAACGACTCGCCACGGCCGGCAGCACGTGCGTCTCCTCCAGAACGCCAACATAATGGGAGCTCTTCGTCACATCCTAACGATCGCGACGCCCATCGGCGGCCGCCCTCTGCAGATCCACATGCACATCCCCATGAAGTAGGGCACCCATATCCTCATCCACGCCATCGCGATGAGCTTATCCGGGAGCATAGTCGCGACTCTTACGGCCAACAGCGAGAGCATGACATAGAAAGAACCAGGTCAAGAGAGCACGGCTGGGAACGTGGTCGCGATCGGGAGCGGGATCGAGAGCACGACCGTGATGCCTGGTATGGCAGCAGGGAGCGGGCGCGCGATTGGCGAGATGAGCGCGATCGAGCATGGCACCATGAGCACGACCGCGAACGGGCGCGGGACTGGGATCGCGAGCGAGAAATGTACGAGCGCGATCAATACTATGTGGCGCGGGATCGAGAGTGGCAACATCAGAGCGGCTACGCGCGAGGATACTCTGGCGCTTCGGGAGGATACGCGGAGTATCCCGACTACTACGATCGCAGATGACCGCTCGTCCGCGTCGTCGCCGGATCCGTCTCCGCGAAATGTCCATCGGACACCCTATTCTATACGCGGACTCCCTCTCGTCTTTTGGCTTTCTCCATTCGCAGTGTTCGCCCAGTCCGCTTGCCATCTCCTCATTCGCCCATCCTGTGGCTTTCGCATCTTCGTCGGCACTGCGCGACCAAATCCTACGCACTTTTGGAAAACCCTTTCGGATGAAAGACATTTGATCCCTCAGCATGTATCCCGCACGCCGGTCCCCTCTTCATTTGTCCCCTCGAGTTCCGCGGCCCGCTACAGCACCTTCGTCAATCAAACTCCCATCTTTCAAAGTGCGGTCAAAGTGCACTGTCCGCTCTTGGGATCGAGCAGTTCATGACTTGACTATGGTCATTGATCAGCGTTTCTGTCGTGTGCTGCATAGAGTATAGCTTATTTGATTCGCATCGAGTAGGTGACGGATGATGATAGCAATACACAGGTACAGCTGATGCGCGTTTGCAAGCAGCCGAGATGATGGGGTAAGGTTCAAAAAGGAGGATCAAGTCAAGAGGCCACTTTACCGTGTGTCTGTCGAGGCTGCACGAACACGCAAAGTACAAAGGGCTCCCACAAAGACGCGGTCGACTACTACGACTTTAGTAGTCGACGCCCAAGAGATTAGAGGCATTAGCGCCTCGCTCCAGGCAACGAAGTTGTCGCTGAGCCCAGTCGTCGGATCGCAGTCGTGCCATCATGGAAGCTTCGTTTTGATGCGTCGAGTTGACAGCATGGCGTTGGCTCAGCACCGGGCTCTTGGACGGGTCTGCAGTGTGTGGACGAGCGGAGCCAGGCCTTCTGGAACTGGCAGGAGCAGTAAATGGACGTTGGCCAGATCCATGTACACGCCTATTTGGCGCACGGGTGGGAGTCTTGGGCACAGCAGGTAGCGGCGACTCTGCAGTGGCGATTCGATCAGCGCGCGGCGTGCTGAAAGCGACTGCCGCGGCTCGATTCACGTCGACAGATGGCGATGGGGAAACATCTGCCTTTGTAGGCGAGCTTGCGCTAGAAGCATTGATAGTGGCAAGCTCGAGAGGAGCAGCAAGGCCTCTTGCAGCCTCCGAATCATGTCCGCTTTCAAAGCTCTCTTCTTCGATCTGGTCTTCCTCAGGTGCTCGAGCGAATTTGCTCTGACTAAGTTGCGTAACATAATTAGCCGCAAAGGCGGCAGCTCCGCCATCTTGCGTAAAGCGTCTGATGCCAAGAGAAGCGGTTGTGTTCGCAGTGTCGGGACGCTGCGAGGACTTGTGACGGGGCGGTGACGCGTCTGCCGCAGAATGAGCGGCATTGCCACGGTTAGGTGGACTGGTGGTCTCCGAGGCGACTAGCGTGGAGCCAGGTGATACAAGAACATTGTTGCGCTCATCGCCCCGATGCAGAACAGGAAGCACGCCAGTATTGTGTCCCGTCTCGGACATTTCGTGCCCAGCTTCGGATGACTTTGAGTTGTCGTGCCCCACCTCGGAAAGCTTGCCGTTCTCAAAGTCCTTGTCCGTCGCAGAGTCGAGACGCATGGTGCGAGAGCGAGAAGAATGGAAGCTCATACGATGCTGCTGATTGTGTGCGCCCTCGGACATGTCAAAGTCGACTGCGCTGTGCCTCGAGCTGAATCTGGATGCCCAGCGGCGGATAGCGACTGGCATAAGTCTCCAGTTCGTCGCCGGTCCGGCTTTGAGAATAGAGTGGCCGCCGCTACTCTTGTCCTTGTGCAGTAGATCAGCTGAGCTCGTCACATGGAAGTCGGAACCAACAGAGCCGTGACGTCTGAGCGCAGGATGGGGCAAGGCCTTCTCCTCCGCCTCCTGCATGAGGCTCGAAGGGTAGCGGCGTCGCAGGTCCAGCAAGACCTCATGCTCAAAGTCGTCGGCCTGTCGGCCACGCAACAGCATCATCTGCGACTTGGCAAACAAAGTGTATGGTGTGAAAACAAAGGGCGTGGCGGAGCTCGGAGTCTCGGATGGAATCACCGTCGAAGGCAGACCGTTGTTGGAGGAGAACGACGCCGGCACAGCTCGCTCTTCGGGCAGAACGGCCTGCACCAAGATCATCTCGGCGGGCGGCGTTGAGTCATCGAGACTGGAAGGCACTTCGAGCACCTCTGCGCTGATTCGTGCGGTGGTGGCAAGCTTGGGGTAAAAGCGCACCGAATTGTGCAGAGCGTCCAGAGCAATGTACAATGCCGTCTGGAAGCGGATGATCAGCTCGATGGCCATTTCTTCGTCGATGAGCTCCGGGTCATCCAGACTGATGGTCGAATTATCCAGACGCAGCTGCTTCTTGCGCTCGCTTGATCGTAGGGCTTCGCGCTCACAAACCTTGCCAGCCTCATCGAGAGTGAGCTGATCGAGGTCGCGCAAAAATTCGCGCATCTCCGGAGTGACACATGCCACCTCCGGTAGGCGGTAGGCAGGGATTTGGTGGCGTGCAAAGTTGTACACGAGAACGTCGAGGCCGCCTTGCCTGCTAGTAGATGGTCGGACGCCGAATAGTCCGGCGTAAACACCGCCTGGCTGGACGACTGGGCGAGTGCCGCGCTTCGCGAAGACTTTCAACGAGTCGAGCAAGGTCTCCATGTCGGGCTTCAGGACAGCGAAACGGTCTGCAAGCACACCGGCCAAGAAGCGAGTCTCTGTGACGCGAAAGCCGCGTTGTCGGTATCGCTCAGCGCTCTCAACGCCAGTGGTGGAAGAGCTGGTAGGCAACTCGCGCACCAGAAATAGCGTCACACCTTCCTGTTCGTCCTCACCATCCCCAAAGATGCTCGGGGCCACTATAGAGCTTTCGTCATCAGCGCGAGGATTCCGCTGGGTATTGTATGGTCCCAATTGCCTTTTGTCTGCTGCTTGCTGAGCCGCTGCCTTGCGTGTACCCGTGGAGAGCACCGAGTCGTAGAGAACACCGACCTGCTCGAACGGAATGTCGAGCTCGCGCGCAATCTGCGAGGCTGCATCGATGACGCTGTCACGGAAGTCTGCCAACGCTGGTGGTCCACGGTTCCGTTCCTGGTCCACATCCAGACTGGCGCGCTTCGAGAGCCTGCCGCGGACTTTTGCGTCGCGTGTGCCAGCTTGGGCATCCACCTGCGTTTGCTTCAAGAAACGCAAAGTGATGGCTTTAAGGAATGGTGCAACAATGTTCCAGTCCCAGCTAATGGCGTAGAGCCACTGGAAGGTGGTCTGTCTCTTGTCGAGCGCATCCATCACTTCAGACATTTTCAGCTTGGTTTCGAGGACGACCATCGGTAGGCTGCCGTCAGCTTTCACCAGAAGTCGACCGCTCTTGTCAAAAGCGACGGAGGCGACGACGACTTTTCTGGAGTTACGGCGCACCTCACGTGCCAGATTGATGTCACTGGCAGCGAGGACGGTGGCGAAGCACACAATCACGAAGCACATGACTGTCGGAACGGTGCCGATGAGTCAGCTTGTCAAGGCCCAAGACACTCGTCGGGCGATCAAGGAGCGACTCACCACCAATGGCGATCGTGACTACGTTGTTGCGTCTGTTGCCGGCCATCAGTGCCGCCTCATGGCCGAGACTCGAGGCGCGTACAGTATAGCTCGTGCCGCTAACTGCCAAGTAGTGCATGGCTGAGACACCAGTGGCGAGAATAGACGCACATGCCAAGCGTTTGAGCCAGTTGTCTTGCCACTGCCTTCGAAAGGCGAAGAAGCTACCTAACGCCACGATGGTGGCAACCATTGCAAGAATGACGGCTCCGATCGTCTGCGGAATGGCGTACGACACGCCAAAGTTGCCAGAGAGGGCGGCGCTGAAATGCATCAGCCCGATGAGACCGCCAACGGCTGCACCAGCAAGCGCAATACGAGTGTAGCTCAAAGCGCCCGTTGCTGATTCGGCATTGTCGAGGAAGAGGAAAGCGGCGGCGAGGGCAAGCATGGGTGCGAACAAGGAAAAGACGGTCCAGCCCGGGGAATAGGAGAAGTACCAATTGATGCCGTTGATGGGCTGAAGCGTCATGTGCATGCCGATGAAGTGCTATAACAGAGTGCTGCCGGGTAAGTTGACCGTTGAAGAAGACAGAAATGCTTGTCTCCCTCGACTCACCATTCCCCAGATGCCGACGCTCGACATGGTCACTGCGGCCATGAGCAGGAAGGCGACATTGCGGATACCCTTGTTGCCCGTCCTCTTGCCAAGCAGCAAAAGAGTAGCGTAGGATCCAAGGACCGAAACTGCCACACTAGCGACGATGATGACTGGAACTAGACGCTGTGGCACTGGATGCGTCAGATAGTACTCGGCGATGGCCGTGACATCTAAACGTCGCAGTGACACATCGATCAGCTTATAGCAGGCCAAAATGAAGATTGGCGCACTCACTCGTCGTGTCGACGTAAGCAGGTAATACGGGATCTTCGTACAGCCCCATGTCGTAGCTAAGAGGGGCGAGGTAGAATAAGTCGAATTGTGTACAGAGGGGTCCTCGATGGAGCCAAGAGTGGTCTGTCGCGGGAAGCTTCCCGAACCTTGAGCGAAGGTCGGTTGCGCTTGCTGTGCGTCGCAAGGGTGGCCGGGCAGATGGATGATGGATGCTTTGTGGACGAGCAAGAGGAGGTAAAAGTAAGTGATTGAAGCTCTAAAGCTTGCGTCACTGCTGGTTTTATGACTAGATGCTCGAGGCGAGGAGGAGACAGTCCCGCGCCGAGCTTCGTGTATGATGAGCAGTTGCTCGGTGTTGCTCGATCCTTAGCGGACGGTGTTCCTGCCTTAGCGCCAGATCTGCCTGCTTCTCTAGCGTCGAATATTGTGATGTGCACGCGTCGAAAGACAGAGGAAAGGCCTGCCGAGTGCGTCGAAGGAGGCGATGCGTCTAGGGTCCCTCCTGCAAGGGAGGTACTTCGGAGTTGCACAGTCGTGGGGACGGGTGAGGTCGGAATTTTAGCGGAGAAAGGGGAGATGGCCGGTTGTAGGAAAGAGCGGCAAGCACGTAAGCGTGTTGCAACTGCCAGCTCGATGATGAGTCCTTCTCGAATCGTATACAATACACCTTGCGGGCCAGCCAGCCAGCTTGCTTGACGTGCAAGGTGCCTTTTCCAGCTAAGCGCCAACAACGCTTGATTGATCGGCAATCAAGGATTCAAATCGATGTTCGGAGACCTGATGTTGAATTCCGGGATGGCTCGGATCGATCAGCGCAGACGGCCAGTGGTACTTTCCCTTGCAGCGGCGGCGCAAGAGCGACCTCTTACCAAGGAGGCACCGAAAAGGTTGCGGACGCCGGACGCAAGGAGGGCAGAGGATGTGCTGAATAGCGCTTCAAACCAGTCGCGGGTGGAAGTGCGTCTCAATAAACGAATCAATCAAAGACCTTCGTGCTTCCGCGTGATTACCGACGCTTGACGGCCGATGTCGATCGCGTATGGGCAGGCGTGAGAAGGAGGCGATGTGCGTGAAATGTCTCGAGTGGCTTGTTGCCGCGCGGGTAGTGAGTTGTGATTCTTTCTGTCAGCAATATGCGATTGATTGGGGAATACTCTTGTCAGCCGGGAAACGTCTTTGAATTGCACTTTTGGCTGCGGCGGAAGAGGACGAAAAGGATGCTCACGGCTCGTATTGGGCAACCTTATGGTGAATTTCAGGGTGACAAGCGTTGGGCGCAGCTGCTGTGCCGAGTCTGAGTAGACAAGCAGCAGCGCGTCCGAGCGTGGGGGAAGAGTTGACGCAAGGAGCAACGTCTCGGTCGCTGGCAGCAGCGGTCGTGAGTAGCAACAGGTTCGCCTTGTTTGTGCTGTTGCATAGCAGAGTAGCTGACAGGGACAGAGGATTGAGATCGAGGTGATGAGCGAAGGACCCCGCGCTGGCGGGATCAGCTAGGATGGAGTCCTTGTTGGGAGCGAGATCAGGAACAGAACGAGGGGGGCCCGCAGCTGCGAGGGGTCGGGCTGAGTGGCTTGGACCGTTGAAGAGCACGTCGTCCAGCTACGAGCTTGCGAATCACGAATTGGTCGCAAAGATTTCGATCGTGACCAAGCCGGGTGGGTGGGTGAACCCTTGCATGCAAGGCTGTCCCGTCGAAGCCGGCCGGGTTACCATGCAGAGCAGCAGCAGTCCTGCGTCCGACAAAGGGACCAGATCAGGCTGATCAACGAGAGTCACGAGTCATGAGACAGAAGCAGCTGTCAGTCGCACGTACGCCTTCCATACATATCGCCATCGCCATCAGCTCGATGAAACTGGGCTTCCGATCTGGACCCCGGCGCTGGTACTGATGGGAGCAACAGCGCAGCATGTGAGCGCATGCCAAGGTTATGCGGGAGACTGTGACCGCTTGCTTCTCGCTCGATTTGACAGCAGCAGGGTTCACAGCAGCAGCGATGCAGCAAGGAGTCGCCGCGTTTGCTTCCCACGATCCGCTCCGCTTGTCGGCGCGGGCCTCGAATTTGTCGGCGCTGCAGCTTGTCGTCGGGTGCGCGGTCCAACTCCAAGAAGCTCGAGCGCAGCTATAGCATGCAACATTGGCCGCAACAGCAGCAGCAGACAATTCATGAACCTCGGGATGCAAAATAAGCAATGTGAATGCATGTCAAGTGCTGCCAAGGTAGGACAACGGAGACGCCAGAGCGAATGGCCTCAAGCTAGGCTGCTCGTGCGCAAAATTAGGCAAGAGGCGGTCCGGCCCCATGAGCTGTAGCAGTAGCTGAAACGCGAGACACGCAGTGGTGCGAGTGCAATCATGTACCGTCTTGAGTAGCAGTACCAAGGCGGTAATGGGCAGTCAGCATGAGTGAGGATTCAAGATCTGCATCAGTCTTGTCTGTCTGCACGGATTTGGTCTGCGTGGACCTCCTTTCAGCCACACGCGGCCCGTGCCCTAGCTGCTTGCGTGTATAGCGGCCCAACCAGCAGCTGCAGGATGCTCGAATCGCAATTAAGGTCGAATAGGAAGGCCGGCCGCGCATGATGTTCACCCGCGCCGCCCACGCTGAAAGAAGCAGAAGCAGCGTACCCATCAGCCCTGTTCGACTGTTGGTTAATGCGCAATTGGAGCACAACGAAAAGCCCAATTACGACCCAAGAATCAATTAATTCATCGAGGCTTGCTCGATCAGCCCGCCTTGGACGCGCGTCGCATTCGTGATTCAGATGATATGAGTCAAGCAGCATCCATAATCACAAATCAATATCGATCCGTCGCAACGCTATAGCCTACACACACATGCAGCTGCTCACGATTGTTTAATCAGTCGACCAAGAGTCGTGAGTAGAGGCTGTGCCCCACGTCCTTTCTGCCGAACTGCTCCACACATACACCGGACAAAATGCCGAGGAGGCGAAGGCGAGCAGAGCACAAATGTCCGGAGTTCGACCGCATGCGCAATCACGAATGCGTGCTCTGACCGGACTGCAAAGTAATCGCGCGCAGGTCTCAGCAGCTATGCTGCAGGCTATGAGGTGGCTCTCACCACTTACTACTTTATTAGCCGAGGTATCACGATACGATGCGGTCGAGGAGCAATCTGATGATGGGTTTTTTATGCACGAGGGCCTATGAGTTGGGCATCCAACCGTGAATGGTCGCGCTCTTGACTCAGACTGACCTCAGCATTCAATAACACTCGTGACTCTTCTGACTTCACCGGTACAGTATGCATGCAGTTTGAGTGTGCACAGCATTCGTGATTCGCAGTCCAAGGTCAAGCAAGGAAAGGGTTCATGCTCAGCTGAGCACAAAGTGCAGCAGCAGCAGCAGCAGGGACCGCGCTGCGCTGTTCCTGACAATTGACGCGCGTGGATATGCCGGCAGCTCAAATTCGCTGTTTGCCGACACGAGACAGCGCGCGATTCGTGAGCCGTTTGGAGTGCAAATCGAGCTTCATAATCCTGAATCACAATAGGTACAGTAAGTACAGTAGGCAGATAGTGAATCAAGCGCGCCTGAGCAGCCTTGATCGTACCAAATCGTGAATTAGGTCTGTCGCTCTTGACTCGAGATGACTCGGCCACTAGTCAAACAGTCACAGTGTGCAATTGAGGGCTGTTACAGCCCGCAACAAGCTTGTCCACCATATGCAGCATAGACGCTCGATGGACTCATGGCTGGTGGCAAATAATTTGGTGATGATCTTTTGCTCAGCCAAGCGGTGAATCCACAACG